CATTCATTCTTCTGTGATTTGCAGCCAGAATGTATGACTGAACTGACATGGAAGAAAAAAAATGGAAAAGACAAACTTGTCTTTGCATCAAGATGTATGCAGATAGAAGTGAGTTGTGACGTCGTTCTCTGGGTTAAACACATCATCAATCTTAAGTTATTATATCACGTGAACATAACACCCAATCAGATTCGCCCGGTAAAGAAGAGCATATAGCATAATTTGCGCAACTCCCGGTCGTGACAGACATGTTCATGTCTCAAACCTACTGACAAATTCGTATGTCTGCCTCCATCCGGGTACTTTTTTCCCGAATTTACCAGATTGACGCCAATAACTTGTCAAGGGCTAATTGAGTAGAGTGATAATTTATTCATGCAACTCATCGATTTGAAATCGTTGTTATTTTTTTTGGCAATCAGCATTTTTCAACTGAGGTATTTGCTTGCCTTCAAATTCAGGAAGAAAACATCATTACAATCATTTTGAAATAAGTGGTAATATTATTAACGTAAGATTGAGTAAAATTTACTCATCCGTTTTTTCCCCTTCTATCGGCAATTTCTTTCTCCAGAATATATGCATTCAGCCTTTCGGGGATGCTCTTGAAGATTGATATGCATGATTGAGTGCTACAATTTCTGTTTCAGGAGATATTCGTTATTTCGCCTTGACATTGAGCTCTTCCGCTCGTTAATACTGTCCACCTCTGTTTATGTTAATATTTTTGTTTATTCGTCATTTCATTATTTCTTCGACTTTCTCTTCAATTTTGACATATCTGCATTTTCTTGTATTTTGGTACGTGTCGACTCTATTTTCACTTTATATATATTATCTTATCCGATACCATGTTATGTTGTGGACACTTATACTTATTTCAGGCCTGCATTGAAAAAGAAGCCAACGAACCAGGAATTAATAACTGTGATGACCCACCGATCCATGTAGCCACCAAGTGCCGATATTGTTGTAACAATAACACTATTACCCAAGGTTATTTTTGCCCACCACCACGAGGTAACTATGACTTTTTGAATGAAACATTATTTTCTCAAGTTAAAATGAAATTGACTAAATTTTATCTAAGCGTGTGTTGTCCCAGTCACATTCTTTAACGTATATTCCCGGGTACACTAAACTAACCTTATGTTTCACCTGCGCTATTTTCTTTCTCTTAGATGTGGTCAACTGTACAGTTCATGGTGATCCCCGCTTCAAGACATTCGATGGTTTCAAGTACCATGAAGGCGGCGACTGTGCGAGCTATACCATATTTCACTCGGAATGCGAAATCCATGGTCTGGATGTGACTGTAACTGAGTCCGAACATCAAGGTCATTACCGTGTGGAAACTTTGACAGTCAAACAAGACACCGATATTTTGGAACTCGGTATCAATGATTATATCAATCCCGTGGAAATCAAGGTGAGATTGTTCGTGTGAATATTATATCCTTACGTTTACATTCATTCATAATCATGTCTACATCTTCTTTTACGTATGATTTGGTTTGATTCGATCTGATTAGCCTTGGTAGCTCTACATTAGGTATATTATGCCACTTATCGTTGAGATCATGTACGGAAAAAAGTATTACATTAACAACTGCAACAATATAAACCTTTATAATATAATCCACTACATTTATGTTACAATGTATGTTTGTGTAGCGTAATCCGTGAAATAGAATACTACAGTCGCTGTCAATGGTCCCATGTGACGTATTCGATACGAACTTGGAGCGCGTGCATCACGGTGATTGTTGCACTTTAAACGATTCTGGCTTTAGATGAGATCTATAAATCCAGAAGTTCAGTCTAACATTCTCAATACTTTTTTATCGATTAATTCCAGTTTAATGGAAATGTCCTTCCCGCAACATTCCCGCAATCCGTGGGTAGTAGTATGCAGATGCTTTTGACCAAAACGGGCACTGACTACGACGTCGTAATAGATCTTGACTGGGACGGATTCCCCGATCTAGTCGTGGCGTGGGGATTCAGGAGAGTGGAACTGCAACTCTCTCAGCCCTATAGTGGATGCTTTGATGTGAATGGCTTATGTGGTGATGCAAATGGGACCCCGGATTATGAAATGATAACCCCATCCAATACCAATGCTACTGATTCAAATGAATTCCATGAAAGCTGGGGTATAGGGTATGTAAAATATTGTTAATATATTATATAACAGGCCTCACCCGAAAATTCAATAACCGGATATAGAAGTAGATTCTTAGGCACATCTGGATGTATTCGTCCTTTGTCATTTGTATACATTTTAAATATACTATATGAAGCGTAATTGTTTTAACTTGGCATAATTATAAAAAATGAGTTTCAAAATCATTTAATATTTCTCGCAATATTCGTTGCTAACAGTCTACACATTATTCAAACAATGGAATATGTCGTAAATGATTTTTTTTTTGTCAATTTCAGTTGCTGATCTGACTGTGGATGTGAATCCGGCGTGCTTCGTGAATGATTGTGAGACTGCAAAATAACACACACAAATATATATATAGAATACTGTTATGTATATTGAGTGTATCCAAGGAAAATTGTAAGAATAGAATAAATGCATGATAATAAAACAGAATTAATCTTTTTCTTTTTTCCACACTATTTATGACATCACGTATATAATATAAGTCCATACATTGACGAAGTAAGTTGTGAATTAGTTACAACGAGTTGGTAATTTATCGACGTAAGTTACAAGGAGTCGGTGATTTGACGGCGTAAGGTATCAACTTAGTTGCGGGTCGGTAATTTGGCGACGTGAGTTGTGGGACTAGTTCGAACGAGCCGGAAATCTTGTGACATATGCCTTGTTCTCACTTACTAGTCGCTTTAGAAGCGACACAACTTAGGTCTTACAAGCGAGAAATGTGGCGTTATTCGTATCATTACTCATCGGTTAGGCAACATTTTGATAACGCATATGGTGTTTGTGAGTGTAATGCCTTGTGTGAATTAAAAATTTATGTTGGACTGGTTAAAGGGCGGTGCGAGATATATGGTCTCATATCAACAAAGATGACGACTTTGACTGTTGCGCAGATCAACGAGTACAAACCACAGTCAGCTGGCGCACACGTGATAATAAAATAAATACGATATTTACTATATGGGGGCCGCCATCTTGAATGACGCATAAAACTAAATAAGAGACAAGTTGTGAAACGCGTTTTTCAGATTCCTACAAATCAGGACAAAAATACCAATCTTTCACAAAAATAAGGTCCGCTGGGGTTATATTAAGCCAACCGATAACAAAATTCGGCCGAATTTGTCGTTTTTGTGTGGAAAAATCCCTTGCATACGAACACCTAATTACGCGAAGAACATAGAACACTAAGCCGGGGTATTTGAAACCGAAATTGTCATCTAAGCGTTAGGCCGTCGCTGATTGGCTGCTGTGCTGGAATGCCAATTTTTAGTTAATGAGTTAATGAGTTAGCCAAGTTAGTTAGTCAGCAACATGCCCGCGACCTGATAACAACTACATAAACTTCCACTTTGATAAGTGGATGAGAATAGCGCCCGAAGTCACAGTCACTTGGGGGCTGAAAATCAATAAATACTAATTTTCAATAAAAATCATCCGCTATACGTATATAAATAAACAAGTTGTGAAACACGGCACCTAGTAAATCGACACCCTGTCGGTTTCAAATGTCGATTTCTTACCTTAAAATGCGAAACAAAATTTTTAGAGGGGATCAGGTGTTACGTTAATAACCATTGTTCATAATCGCTAACTTGGTTTTATTCAAAACTGCACAAATCCCGCGTTTTTTGATGAT